CTGTCACCCAGACTGGAGTGCAGTGGCCGCTCCCGGCCACCGCAGCCTCGACCCGCTGGGCTCCGGCGATCTTTCCGCCTCAGCCTTCCAAGTAGCTGGAACTACAGGCATGCGCTACCACACCCAGCTAATTTTTATTTATTGTAGAGATGAGGTCTCGCCAACTTGCCCGGGTGGGTCTCGAACCCACAGGCTCAGGCAGCCCACTCACCTCAGCCTCCCAAAGGCGCGGGATTACAGGCTGAGCCACTGAGCCCGGCTCAGTTTCCTTTTTTTTTTAAAAGATACCTCTGATTTATTCCAAGGCACATGAGTAAAGCTTCTTGTCATTCCCCAGCCTACCAGTAAAATAGTATGAGATCTATTTTAATACATCACTATTATATTTCTACTTTATCCCTACTAGCATAATTTCCCAAAATGTGTACTACTACATTTACAGAATTGTGTTACAGATAAAGACAAAACCTACTAAGACAGATAATCTGACTTTGTGAAAATAATGAAGACCGATATGATGCAAAAATTCACCACCATCAGTCCTAACTACAAACACATCTAGAAATATTGGATAAATTATAAAAATAAAAATAAAAATTTTAAAAAAACAGCTGAACTCGGAAGAAAAAGAAATCCTCAGTTTCTAGAAAAAGAGAGGAAGCAAAGCCAGATTGCTGTTGCAAGAGTATTCATACAGTTTCTAAAGGGATATAGGCACTAGAGACTGACTTTCAAACATCCATCCCTGAAACCACACGAGGTAGTGACTTACAGTGTTTATCATCAGCCGGGTGTGGTGGCTCACGCCTGTAATTACAGCACTTTGGGAGGTGGAGACGAGAGGAATCCCTGAGCTCAAGGGTTCAAGATCAGCCTGGGCAAACTGGCATGACCTCGTCTCTATAATATATCAAAAAATTAGCTGGGCACGGTGGCACGCACCTGTGGTTCCAGCTACTTGGAAGGCTGAGGCGGAAGAATTACCTGAGCCAAGTAGGTTGAGGCTGCGGTGGTCGTGAATGTGCCACTGCACCCCAGCCTGGACAACAGAATGAGACTCTGACTCAAAACAAAAACAAAAACAAAAACATAAAAAACTATTTATCATCTTTATGGAGAGCAGTTCTCAAAGTTGGTTCCAAAGAATTCATGAAATCAAACTATTTTCATCATAATTCTAAGATGTTATTTGCCTTTTTCACTTACATTTTTGAAAAAGTGTATTGAGTTTTCCAGAGGAAACATGACATGCGATATCACAACAGACTGACTAGAAGCAGGAATGAGAATCTGCTATTAAAAGATTGATAACTGAACCTGGATGCCAGATACTAAGACTAAGACTGCTGTCCTTCAAAAGGCCTGCCTAAAGTTTTGGCCCCTGCCTGCCATTTAGAAACCTGAATGATAAACAATTCCCTACTCTAATATAAAACTTTTCAAATGACTAAGAGTGCTCATAGTACCCAGACTGTTTGTACAAATGTAAGTGCTGAACACCTGCTATCCTTCTGGGAGTTGGAAATTTTGGTACATGTTTGACAAAGGGTGCTCATGTCATCAGCACCCAATAAAAATCTTGGGCACTGAGTCTCTAATGAGCTTTCTTGGTATGCAACACTTCCCATGTGCAGCCATAATTTTATACTGGAATAATTAAGCACATTCTATGTGATACTACTGGGAGAGAACTCTTGGAAGCCTGTTCCTGGTTTCTTCTAGACTGCCCACCCATGCATTTTTCCCTTTGCTGATTTTGTTCTGCATTCTTTCACTGTAGTAAATCACAGCCATAAGTCTTCCTAACAAGTCACCCAAACTGGAAACGATCTTAGAGACCCCTCAACACAATTAGTCATTATGTACAACCACAATAACCATCTCAGCCTGTGTTGAGGACCTTGGCAGGGATGGCTGTAGCAGGAATGGAAAGGGCCAATCTTACAGAAAATAATAAAAAATGAATTTTAAAAATGTAGCCAATGGCTTAGTATAGAGCAAGGAGGATGAGAAAAAAAGTCATTTCTAAGGTTTTATGTTCTGTACCTACCTTTACTCCTCAGAAGCGCTCTTTGTAGAGCACTCTATAAGACACAACTTCAAAATTATGTTTCCACTAAACTAGGACACCAGAGAGGTTATTAGATACCAAGAAGCTAACTCATAACACAGAAGTTCAATGCAAATGTACAATTCCTAGCGAAAAGCTCTTTGTTACTTGCTATTTTAATAGAATGATTTTCAGAGGAAAGTAACAAATTTATGTAAGATGTAAGTACAAAAAGTCTGAAGGTTTTATACACGTTGCCTAATTAGTCTCTAAAATCCCTTTGGGATAATTGGGTTCTCTCATACCATCTTACAATAAAAAGAAAATCCTAACTAAAACATAACTGCAGCCAGGCGTGGTGGCTCAAGCCTCTAATCACAGCACTTTGGGAGGTCGAGGTGGGAGGATTGCCTGAGCCCAGGGGTTCGACACCAGCATAGGAAACTTGGTGAGATCTTGTCTCTACAATATGTCAAAAAAATCAGCCAGGCATGTTAGTGCGTGCCTGTAGTTCTGGCTGCTTGGTAGGCTGAGGCAGAAGGATCACCTGAGCCCAGCGGGTCGATGCTGGGGTGGCTGTGAGCATGCCACTGCTCTCCAGTTTGGGCGATGAAGTGAGACTCCAACTCAAAAAATAAAAAATAAACAAAACATAACTGCTTAGAAAATAAATGGTAAATCCGCAACTCAGTCTAGAAAAAGTTTTACTGCCTGTCTCATTAATACCATGACTAATGTCTTTAAAGCCCAGGCATTAATGTTTCAATCTACTTAAAGTTAAAAAGAGAAAAGCTTTAAACTTAGGACATTTAGCAAAATAATTCTAACCAGTTAATTAAAAAATAATTACTTAATTCAGGAAGGGAGGAGTGTGGGGGACACGTGTCAACACAAAGCATACTTGATCCACTACCAGGGAAAGAGAGGAGGGCCAGTTAGAAGCCCAAACTTTACCTACATGCAGCCTGTTTATGTAATTAACCTGCACTTGGACCCCACATCTCTATAATAAAAATAAAAATGAATTACTTAATTCAAAGAATCATAGTTGTAAGAAGAATAAGCCATACGAGGAGAGTTTTGCAACCCTCTTTGTTATGTTTAAAAAAAAAAAGGAGCAAGCCTCCAGTGCACCCCCTCCACCGCCAATGATCCTCATTTCCTGAAATTCAGGACTTGGAATAGCCCCCTCCCACACCAAACAGGGCTGACTGATGTAACCAATAAAATATTATCGATTTTAAGAAGTCTTACTTTTAAAGTGAAGTTATAAAAAACGCTGTAATGCTTTTCAGCTCTCAAGTGGTCCTATGAAGAGACCCATATAGCTAGAATCTGAGGCTTCCTGCCAACTTTCATGTGATTAAGCCATTCGGAAAGCCAGTCCACTAGTCCAGTCAAGTCTTGATATGGCTACGGCCCCAAACAATATTTTGACAGCAACTTCATGAGGGACTTCAAGTTACAGCTATCATTAAACTGCTCACAAATTCTTGACCCACAGAAAATACAGGATAATGAATGTTTGTTATATAAGCCACTAAAGTCAGAAGTGATATATTACCAAAAGAAAAACCAAACAGATGGCCAGGAACAAAACATGAACAGATCAGCCATCTAATAATCAAGGACAAAAGCTGCTCCTATCTTCATGTCTAACAAACATAATCCTGCATTTCTCCACATTTTTACATGAAGTTGAATAGGGTAAAAACAGAAATAGATAAATGTTTTCTAAGAATTCGTACAAAATTCAAATATGGAAACAGGATTAGCATTTACATTCTTAGTACAGTATTACTCACTTAGGGTTGACACCTAAAATAATCTTCAAAAATTCTGTGGCATTATCTCTAAAAGATTAGAAAATGTAAACATCTGCTCAAGGACAATTTAAAAAGTCAGAACAGAAACAAAATTCGGAAAAAGATAAGAGCTTTAAAATGAAGTCTCTCCTCCACAATGATATCGCTGACTTCCATTTGCCAATGGAAGAGTGTGAGAAACTCAGACTGATGCATTTCTTTATAGATAGTTATACAAGTCAGGTTTAAAAGTCAGTGATATTAAACATGTATACACTCCAACACTGAACTGTTCCTTTAACAACCGTCCCTATTTAGCCTATATTATCCATCCCACTGTATCAATCTTCTTCTCCCTTGGTAAAAACCCAGTATAGTCTCTAATCATCGTTATCCAAACTTATTATCCTAACCTGTAGTCTACCACAATAAGAAAAAAAAAAATCAATAAGGCTAGTATAGAATAGAAAAAAAACACTAAATAAACCCCCAAAAAAGGGAAGAATCAAAATATTATAACTAAAAATATTTCACACCAAAAGAAGGCTGTAAAGAGAAATGGGGGAAGGGAAGAAGACATGAAGCACAGAAAATAGCAAAATTGCAGGCATAAATCAACCACGCCAAAAATTACATTAAATGTAAATGCACTGATCACTCCAATCAAATGGTAACTATCAGTCTGCATAAAAAAGCACACGAGATCCAATTACATGCTATCTACAAGAGACAAGTTTCAGATTCCAAGACATAAAATACCTTCAAAATAAAGGAATGGAAAAAGATACAACAGGCAAACGGCAACCATAAGAGAGCAAGAGTAGTTACACTTTTTTTTTGAGTTGGAGTCTCACTCTGTCACCCAGACTGGAGTGCAGTGGCCAGTCCCAGCCACTGCAGCCTCGACCTGCTGGGCTCCGGCAATCCTTCTGCCTCAGCCTTCCAAGTAGCTGGAACTACGGGCGCACACTACCACGCCCAGCTAATTTTTTTTTATTTATTGTAGAGGGGAGGTCTCGCCAAGTTGCCTAGGCGGGTCTCGAACCCGCGGACTCAGGCAATCCAAAGCGCGGGATTACAAGCTGAGCCACCGAGCTCGGCTTATACTTTTAATTATATATCCTTCTATACTAAAACTTTTTTCTTTTTTTAATTGTGTATAACTCTTTTTTTTTTTTTTAAGTCTTGGAGTCTCACTCTGTCACCCAGGCTGCAGTGCAGTGGCATGACTGTAGCTCACTGCAGCCTCAATCTCCTGGGCTCAGGCAATCCTTCCACCTCAGATTTCTGAGTAGCTAGGACTACAGGCACATGCCACCAAGCACAGCTAATTTTTAAAATTTTTTTATAGAGACAAGATCTTGCTATGTTGGCCAAACAATCCTTCCAACCTTGGCTTCCCAAAGTACTGGGATTATAGTTGTGAGCCACCATGCTTGACCTGTAATTCTTTTAATAGGAGATAAAACTCTTAAATTAATGCCAATTATACAGTGAAAGGAAAAGTGTCAATGACCAAAGTAAGAAATTATCATCTCAATTCAGCATTACACACAGAGGTCATCTCCTATGTGGCAAGATTTCATGTACATGTTACAGTTTAAACGCATACTTAAAAACTTATCTGCCCAGATGTTGAAGGAAACTTATTTTTTTAGACCTACCAATAAAATGTAATTTTATAAGAAATCCTTATGGTATCAAACTCTCTTTAGGAGAAAAAAAAACTCAATTCACTTTCCAGATTTTATAACAGAAAGAACTAGGCAAAATTTTTAAACTGAAGTTAAAGTTTTAAAATAAATTAGTTTTAGGATGCAGAGTTAAATAATTTTTAAAAATTTTTTGAATTCATTGTTTTAAAAACTGAGTATTATTTATATCATTCAAATCCTACATATTTATTATTTTAAGTTAATGTGGTCCCTTAAAAAAAGGTGGTTTTCTACACAAGGCTAAATCAACTGGAGGGTAAGCAAAATTCAGATAAAACTATGTGCACCTCTTCTTCTGGCAGCATCTTTCTCCGACCATCCTTTACAGGAAATCCACTTCCAAAGTCTTTTGAGGAGATATCTGCTCCATACTCCACAATAACATCTTCTTCAATGCTGCTCACCAGACGCCAGAATTCCTTTTCTACTAGTTCTGTGGGAACCATCTACACGGAGAAAACAAAGATGACAGGTTACTAACTCTATACCTAGTATACATGTCAAGGCAACATAAATCCATGATAAAATTAAAAACCTTCTCATTTCCCAAAGCAGAAAAGACTGGGGTCCTAGCTTTTTCCACTGAGAATGAGAAAAAGCTACAGACAACTTGGACATTCAGCAAAACCTAATAAGCTATACCGCCTTTTTCTGAAACACACAAGCAAACAACAAACAAAAACTGCTTCCCAACTAAGAAAAAAAAGATGAATAGGGACATCAAGGAGGAACAAGGAAAGGTAACCAGTCACACCAAGGTTAAATTTTAATAATGCTGGTAAATGTTTTTGACAGAGACTAAAAAAGCCCAAGATTCCCTAGGAAAAAAAGCCAACCCCACATTTCAAATTACTAAACAAAACCAGCAACTGCCAAAGACTTCATGCTTTTCTGTAAAGGGTTACTCACAGAGGGCTATTAAAACAATTCAAGCATCAAGACAGATTTTACAACAGGAGAGTACGAAATGTCTTATTAGAAAATGAAAGAAAAAGAAACAGATACCATGTCCCATTATTTAGTGTTATATCATTTTTTTCCACGCTATCCCTGTTTTCCACAAAATAATACAAATAAAAGAGAAAACCAAAGCATTGGACTCAGACTAACCTAACAGATAGCTTACTCACATGAACTGGCATATTAAAATAATCAGACTTAAAATTATCTGCCATCTCTCCAAAGCTCTGAAGTGTATACTCTCGTACAGCCTGTTCAAATCCGAAGGCTTCTCGAGGTTTGTTACATTCCTGGAAAGAAAAAAATACCTAAGATTAACTCATTGAAACTAAACTGCAGTTTTTTTTTTGTTTTTTTTTTGGTGTTGGAATCCTGCTATGTCGTCCAGGATGGAGTACAGTGTCACACTCACGGCCACAGCAGCCTTGACCTGCTGGGTTCAGGCGATTCAACTACCTCAGCCTTCTAAGCAGCTAGAACTACAGGTATGCACCACCACACCCAGCTAATATTTTCACTGTAGAGATAGGTCTTGTCAAGTTGCCCAGGCTGGTCTCGAACCCCTGGGTTCAGGCAATCTTCTCGTCTCCACCTTCCAAAGTGCTGGGATTCCAGGTGTGACCCACCGTGCCTGACAAACTGAAGAAAGTTTTAAGGCTCATGGGTACTACCTTCTCTGATAACTTTTCCCTAGGTAGAGCAAATCAAATCAATGCTAGAAAACAAAACAACAGCCGGCTCGGTAGCTCAGTCTGTAATCCCACGCTTTGGGAGGCTGAGGTGAGTGGATTGCCTGAGCCCGTGGGTTCGAGACCCGCCTGGGCAACTTGGTGAGACCTTATCTCTACAATGAAACAAAAAATTAGCCGGGTGTGGTAACGTGCGCCTGCAGTTCCAGCTACTTGGAAGGCTGAGGCGGAAGGATCGCCGGAGCCCAGCAGGTCGAGGCTGTGGTGGCCAGGAGCAGCCGCTGCACTCCAGTCTGGGCGACAGACTGTGACTCCCACTCAAAAAAAAAAGAAAAAAAAGAAAACAAAACAACATTAGTTACAAGCAATATGTTATCAGGGAATTAAGTTCCAGAATCTCAACTGCATTTTCACAGCATTCCAAAAGGAAAGAAGGTGGTAATGAGACAGCTTTAGAGTCCAGTTTTTAGGTTGAGGTCGGTGGCTCAGCCTGTAATCCCAGCACTTTGGGAGGCTGAGGTGAGTGGATTGCCTGAGCCCGTGGGTTCGAGACCCGCCTGGGCAACTTGGTGAGACCTTATCTCTACAATGAAACAAAAAATTAGCCGGGTGTGGTAACGTGCGCCTGCAGTTCCAGCTACTTGGAAGGCTGAGGCGGAAGGATCGCCGGAGCCCAGCAGGTCGAGGCTGTGGTGGCCAGGAGCAGCCGCTGCACTCCAGTCTGGGCGACAGACTGTGACTCCCACTCAAAAAAAAAAGAAAAAAAAGAAAACAAAACAACATTAGTTACAAGCAATATGTTATCAGGGAATTAAGTTCCAGAATCTCAACTGCATTTTCACAGCATTCCAAAAGGAAAGAAGGTGGTAATGAGACAGCTTTAGAGTCCAGTTTTTAGGTTGAGGTCGGTGGCTCAGCCTGTAATCCCAGCACTTTGGGAGGCTGAGGTGAGTGGATTGCCTGAGCCCGTGGGTTCGAGACCCGCCTGGGCAACTTGGTGAGACCTTATCTCTACAATGAAACAAAAAATTAGCCGGGTGTGGTAACGTGCGCCTGCAGTTCCAGCTACTTGGAAGGCTGAGGCGGAAGGATCGCCGGAGCCCAGCAGGTCGAGGCTGTGGTGGCCAGGAGCAGCCGCTGCACTCCAGTCTGGGCGACAGACTGTGACTCCCACTCAAAAAAAAAAGAAAAAAAAGAAAACAAAACAACATTAGTTACAAGCAATATGTTATCAGGGAATTAAGTTCCAGAATCTCAACTGCATTTTCACAGCATTCCAAAAGGAAAGAAGGTGGTAATGAGACAGCTTTAGAGTCCAGTTTTTAGGTTGAGGTCGGTGGCTCAGCCTGTAATCCCAGCACTTTGGGAGTCTGAGGTGAGTGGATTGCCTGAGACTGCGGGTTCGAGACCCACCAGGGCAACTTGGCGAGACCTCATCTCTACAATAAATCAAAAATTAGCCGGTGTGGTAGCGCGCACCTGTAGTTCCAGCTACTCGGAAGGCTGAGGCAGAAGGATCGCCGGAGCCCAGCAAGTCGAGGCTGTGGTGGCCGGGAGTGGCCACTGCACTCCAGTCTGGGCGACAGAGTGAGACTCCAACTCAAAAAAAAAAAAGACTCCAGTTTTGGCATTAGGTTCTGGAACCTAGAGGACTACAGACTTGGAATCAAGCTTAGGGATGTCCATCATTCTTAGCACACCAGTGGACTTGGCCACAGAGAAAAATGTTTGTGAGGGAAGGAAAGGTAGTGGATAAAGAAATATACACTGGAATACTAGGATATCTGGCTAAGAGAATGGTTTGCTCACACTATCAATCACCACAACTAATAACACAAATATTCATTTACAGTAAGTAGAACTGCATCTAAATCTTTTAGCCTTGAGAACAGTCAATAAATAATAATTCAGGCCAGGCTCGGTGGCTCAGCCCGTAATCCCAGCGCTTTGGGAGGCTGAGGTGAGTGAATTGCCTGAGCCCACGGGTTCGAGAACCGCCTGGACAACTTGGCGAGACCTCATCTCTACAATAAATCAAAAACTAGCTAGACGTGGTAGCGCATGCGTAGTTCCAGCTACTTGGAAGGCTGAAGCAGAAGGATCACCAGAGCCCAGCAGGTCAAGGATGCAGTGGCCGGGAGCAGTCACTGCACTCCAGTCTGGGTGACCAAGTGAGACTCCAACTCAAAAAAATAAATTAATAATAATAATAATTCAAGGTCATACAAGACTTAGATACACCTAGCCAATTCCTACTCTTCAATATCCTATTATAACATTTTGCTAAAATAAGTTAACAGACTAGGCATTTCATAATAATGACACTATCTTTCACTAAGAAAAATTCAGTACAATCAAGTCAAAATTTAGACACTACCAGTATATTTATTTGCATGAAAACGATGCAAAAATTCCAAGTTCTAGAGCCTCAAGTCTAGTTATACCTTTTTAAAGAAAAAAAGGGAAAACAAATAACCTATAGCTTTCTTCATTTTTATTGTTGTCCAGCAATACGAATATCCTGAGAAATCTCATTCACCTGTAGCCATAGACATAATTATCTAGTCAATAATCAAAAAAGAACCTTTAAAAAGCAAGCTACCACAATACAATTGTTACATTTCCATTCACTATAGCTCTTGGCCGCCCCAGCATCGACCTGCAGGACTCTAGCGATCCTTCCGCCTCAGCCTTCCAAGTAGCTGGAACTACAGGTGCGCTACCACGCCTGGCTATTTTTTTTTTTTTTATTGTAGAGACGAGGTCTTGCCAAGTTGTCCTGGCTGGTCTCGAACCTGCAGGCTCACACAATCCACTCGCCTCGGCCTCCCAAAGTGCTGGGATGACAGGCTGAGCCACCGAGCCCAGTCCGTTTTTAGTTTTAAAAGGTTCCATAAAGGTTAGGCTTGTACCTCAGCAACACATTTAGGACACCTCCAGTCTCCTTTGGGCACATCAGGTAACGGAGGAATTAGACAAAATGTATGATAGCTGTCATCACATCCATCACACAAAAGCAGTTTATCTTCATTGTTTCCCCGACCACAAAACATACAAACATAGAGATCAACCTGTTAAAAAATAAAATAAAATAAAAAATCAACGAAGTCTATTTTCTATACTAAATAATAGTAAATGTTTATTAGATAATAAAAGTGTAACAGGTTATTAGAATAAAGACAGAGTATAAATTTAGGGTTATCTGAAGCCAATTTATATCTTTAAAAAAAACCATGCCAGTCTTCTTATACACAAACACTCTGTGGTAGAGAAGGAGTACTGAGCACTGTCTATAATACAACTCAGCAATTTATACAAATTCGTATTCATTCTCTCAGTTACCTATAAGGTATATGACTCAGGCAATACAGCTGACATATATGGGACAAAGCAAGGTGAAAATTACATACGCCAAAGCTGCAAGTTTACAGGCTTGTCATCCAGTTTTCTATCTAACCAAATGAGCTAACTAAACAGCTACCAAGATACACCAAGATTAAAAAACACAAAAGTAAAATAAAAATAAGGCCTTTCGTTCCTGACACTCCCAAAACACTTACAAAGTTAACAGAGAGCGTGCCTTTCCGTTGTCTCATTTGCATGTTAAACGCATCTGATCTGTTGGTAACTTTTCGTCTTCGGGTGACCTCATCTTGAAATAAAAAGTTACGCAATAATAGTGAAAACCAATGTTGAGAGCTTACTATGAACCAGACACTCTTTTAAATTATTTAAATTAGTTAAAATTTCACAACATTATGAGATGGATAGACTATTATCTCTCACTGAAGACAAAAAACCTGAGGTATAGAAAAAAGTTAATAACTTGCCCCAAATCACACAGCCTGGCAGATTTTGCATTCTAATTCAGGCAAGCAGCCAAGAGCTTGACGATTAACACTCTGCTTATACGCAGTACTGACTACATACCACCTATATGACTCCTTGGAGGGCCTCCCAAATTAGTTGGGGACTAATTTTTAAGATTGTTGTCAGCCAGTATTATAAGTACAAGAATGACAAAAACAAAGCATTTAAGTCTTAAAAGGGAAATAATAATCATTAGAATGCATCTAATAAGTCCTATTATGCGTTTTGAGAGATTTAGAACAATATTATCTGATCCTCTAGCATTCAGGCCATGATCTGAATTATGTGACTTTACCCATATCATAAGCGCATAATTACATGATTTGTGACTGTAGCATTTCATTAAGTTCTTATATAGTCAAAATATATCCAGCCAAATCTTTCTTAAACTGAGTTTTAAAACATACATGTTATATAAGGAGAACGGTGAAACCTGAACCTTACATTAGCAATTCTACTCACAAAAAGTTTCAACCGAATCCCAGCACTTTGGGAGGCTGAGGTGAGAGGATTGCCTGAGCCCAAGAGTTCGAGACCAGTCTGGGCAACTTGGTGGGTGAGACCTCATCTCTACAATAAATCAAAAAGTTAGCCGGGTATGGAGGTGCATGCTTTTAGTTCCAGCTACTTGGAAGGCTGAGGCAGAAGGATCGCCTAATCACAGTAGGTCAAGGCTGTGGTGGCCGTGAGCGTGCCACTGCACTCCAGCCTGGGCGACAGAGTGAGACACTGACTTAAAAAAAAAAAAGTTTCAACTGTGGGCCATTGCCTTACTAGACTCTGGTGTGGCCATGTGCTCTTTGAGCTATGGCTATCACCATGTTTCCTGGCTTTGGCCCCCTTCCCTAACTTGGGGAGGTAAATCACCTCTTTCTCTCTCTAACTTACTTTTTAAATAAACTATATTTTCTAATTTAAAAAAATTTTTAAATTAAAAAAAAAAATGTTTCAACTGTGAAACTGAAAGTACTAGTCGTTCTGAAGAAAACAGTTTATTTCAATGAAGTTTCAAAACGTATCAAGGGCAAGGCCTGTTATCCCGGCACTTTGGGAGGCCAGAGCAGGAGGACTGCCGGAGTCCAAGAGTTTGAGATCAGCCTAGGCAAGACAGTGAAACCTCGTATCTACAAAAATAAGTTTAAAATTAGCTGGGCGTGGTGGCACAAGCCTATAGCTCCAGCTACACAGGAGGCTTAGAAGGGAGGATCACTTGAGGCCAGGAAGTTGAGGCTGGAATGAGCCAGGATCCTGCTACTGTCCTCAAACCTGGGCAACAGAGTGAGACCCTCTTTCCAAAAATAAAAATAAAAAATCAAGAGTCAAGCAGGTGGCTCATGTCTACAATCTCAGCACTTTAGGAAGCAGAGGCGGGAGGATCGCTTGAGCCCAGGAGTTCAAGACAAACCTGGGCAACATAGTAGACCTTGTCTCTACAAAATTTCTTTTTAAAAATGTGTTTTAGCGGGTCATGGTGGTACATGCCTGTAGTACAAGCTACTTGGGAGGCTGAGGTTGGAATAGCTTGAGCCCAAGGAGCTCAAGGCTGTTGTGAGCTATGATCATTCCATTGTACTAAAGCCTGGGTGATAGAGTGAGATTCTGCTTCTAAAAAAAATTTAGAAAATAAGCCGGGCTCGGTGGCTCAGCCTATAATCCTGTGCTTTGGGAGGCTGAGGTGAGTGGATTGCCTGAGCTCACGGGTTCGAGATCCGCCTGGACAACTTGGCGAGACCTCATCTCTACAATAAATCAAAAATTAGTCGGGCGTGGTAGCGCGCGCCTGTAGTTCCAGCTACTTGAAAGGCTGAGGCGGAAGGATCGCTGGTGTCCAGCAGGTCGAGGCTGCGGTGGCCGGGAGTGGCCACTGCACTCCCATCTGGGTGACAGAGTGAGACTCCAACTCAAAAAAAAGAAAAAAAATTTAAAAAATTTAAAAATTAGCCAGGCGTGGAAGCGCGCACCTGTACTTCCAGCTACTTGGAAGGCTGAGGCGGAAAGATCGCCGGAGCCCAGCAGGTCGAGGCTGCAGTGGCTGGGAGCGCCCACTGCACTCCAGTCTGGGCAATGGAGTGAGACTCCAACTCAAAAAAAAAAAATTTAGAAAATAAAAATTATGGTTAGAATTCAAAAATTCTAAGTTTTCCCAATATATACTGATACAAAGAATTATAAGCTTTAGATCACTAGATGAGAACCATTAATTTCACCATTCTCTCACAAACTAGCCTTAGAAATGGCAATGCATTTCTGTGTCATATATAAGGAAGAAAAATTCTTCTAGAATCATAAAAATTCAACACAATATTCTCTTCATATGTTAAATTTAAGATATCTGGCATTAAAAAACAATCTGACTAGAAAGCACATTGCAACTTGACAATTCTTTTTTTTTTTTTTTGAGTTGGAGTCTCACTCTGTCACCCAGACTGGAATGCAGTGGCCACTCCCAGCCACCGCAGCCTCGACCTGCTGGGCTCTGGCGATCCTTCCACCTCAGCCTTCCAAGTAGCTGGAACTACAGGCGTGCGCTACCACGCCTAGCTAATTTTTGATTTATTGTAGAGATGAGGTCTCGCCAAGTTGCCCAGGCGGGTCTCAAACCCGCGGGTTCAGGCAATCCACTCACCTCGGCCTCCCAAAGGCACGGGATTACAGGCTGAGCCACCAAGCCCGGCTTGACAATTCTTAAGGATTCCCAGCACAGACTGCAATTCAAGTACACATAGCATTTGAATCTTTTTACAACCATACTGCTGTACCTTATCTCTTTTCATGGCCAGACAACACACCTTACCTTCTTTATCTTTTGCTCCCATTGCTAGGCCCACAACCTTGGGCCCAGCCCCAAAAATCTGAAGTTTCTTCAGTTCCGTGTTTCTGCTCATGTCTCCAGATTCTGACTAAAAAATAATAAACAAAATTCACATTAGCATAAATATACTGATTCATGTATTTATTTTCTTATAAGAAGTTTCAAGATCCTCTTCAAAATGAAGGAAAAAATTATTTGATTTCTTTTGTCTAAATCTACTTACTGCCTAACAGTTGTAAGTCTTTCCACAAAATAAAATTCATCAATGTCTCCTAAAAAGTGTAGTTGCTGAGCTAAAGACAGACACTGTTGTTTATTATGCAATAGAAATTCCTACTTCCAATCTGCTAATGGACACCTGCTCATAATTAGAAGGCAATAGGCCCATCTCAGGGCATAAACCACGATTGTCCTAAACCAATCATGCTAATTCCACTTCTCTTTGTTGGTGATGACCAACAAAGGGGTGGGAATGTAATCCAGTTCTAGCCAGTGACACATCAAAAAAGTTTATTGGGGGCAGCCTGTAATCCCAGCACTTTGGGAGGCTGAAGCGAGAGGATTGCTTGAGCTTGGAGGTTCGAGACTAGCCTGGGCAACTTGGTGAGACCTCGTCTCTACAATAAATCACAAAAACTAGCTGAGTGTGGGGGCGCACACCTGTAGTTAATGCCTGTAGTTCCAGCTACTTGGAAGGCTGAGGTAGAAGGTCAAGGCTGTGGTGGCCATGAGCAAGCCACTGTACTTCAGCCTGGGTGACAAGAGTGAGACTACAACTCAAAAAAAAAAAAAAAAGTTTACTGGAAGTCTCCAAGTAAGATTTTAATCTTCCAATAAAAGGGAAAGCTGGCCAGATACAGTGGTTTACGTTTGTAATCCCAGTTCTTTGGGAAACTGAGGCAAGAGGATTACCTGAGGCCAGGAGTTCAAGACCAGCCTAGGCAATATAGTGAGTGAGACCTCATCTGTACAAGAAATAAGAAATTCAGCCAGGCGTGATGGTGCACGCTTATCATTCCAGTTACTTGGGAGGCTGAGGCAGGAAGACTGCCTAAGCCCAGGAGATTGAGGCTGCAGTGAGCCATGATCACACTACTGAACTCCAGCCTAGGCAATAGAGTGAGACCCCCAACTCATACAAAATAAAATAAAAGGGAAAGCCTATCAAAGGGTAGTCTTTACTGCCCAACTCCCTTCCTGCTTGCTAGGTGACTCAGTTAGGTGAAAACATGGTGCTGGACTCTGCAAGAGTCACAGTACAATTGAGAGAAGACTTACACCTACACAATAAAAGAAGCAAGTCAGAAATATGGAAAGCACTTGGGTCCTTGATGACAATAAGAAGATGCTACACCAATCCTAGAACCACTATCCTCTGAAAATCTTATGTGAAAAATGTTATGAAGTTTAAGCTACTGTCATCTGACATTCTATCACCTGAAGGTGAGAGTATACTGACAAGATATTGGTGTTAAATCTTGAATTTAGAATAACCATCATCCCTGAATGTAAACTAAGTCGCTAGCCAAAAATGTATTTTAAATGTGTAAAGAATAAGCATAAATATAAACCAGGACAAAACACAGACTACTTTAGAATAGAACAGAAGAATATAACAAATGATATATGCAATCCAGTCTAATAAAAGATCATATAAGAAAGAACAAAACCAATATAACTGGCTTTCCAATTTTTTCTTTCCAAATTGGAAAATACAGTTTATTTAGAAAGTAAATTAGAGAGAGAGAGAGAGAGAGAGACAGACAGACAGACAGATAGACACTGACTCACCTCCCCAAGGCAGGGGAGGGACAAAGCTAGGAAACTTGGCAGCCATAACTCAAAGAGCTATGTGGAAATACCAGAGTTTAATGAGGCAATGGTGAGTGGGGACAGGGAGAGGAACAGGGAGAGGGACAGGGAGAGGGACAGGGAGAGG